TTGGATTACTACGCGTTGGTTAACTACGCGTTAGATTGTCACGCATTAGATTCCTACGCTAAAAATTACCACGCGTTGGACTTATACGCGCTGGATTACTATGCGTTAGATATCCACACGCTGGATTACTACGCGTAGATTACGACGCATTAGATTCCTATGCTTAGAATTACCACATTACCACGCGTTGCATTACTACGCGTCGGATTACCAAGTGTTCGATAACTACGTGTTATTCGAAACTGTCGCTCTCGCATCTGCGCATGCGTAATCCCCTGGTTGGTCCGTGTTTTTCCTTGATAATTCAAAAACGAAGCTTCAAACCCTATTTTTGTAAAGAAAAATTTTATTCAGAATCACGTCATCTACCCCTCAGTTCAGGGACCTACTATTGTGAGACACCCTGTATACAGTACGCTCCCGTTATATTAATGGATATTAAATTGATATTGAATGTCGACCACAGATACGAAGGTTTAAATAAATATTTTTGATTAAATAGTCCTTTTTGTTGTTACAGATGCGCAGAAGGTTTCACGGGTCTACGGTGCGAGACGAAGGATGTCATCAGCACCGGAAGTGTGTACAACCGGCGTAGGGCGCCATTTTCCTGCAAGCTGGGACTCTCGACCTCGTACTACTGCTAGCGATAATCGCGCGGGGCCCTTCCAAACCGAATACTCCATTTTCATTCGTTGAACTCGGTATATTCGGTCCACTTCGATCAGAAAAGAGCCTCTCGAACTCGCGAGGAATGTCGCGAGGGGGCCAACGCGCGACCATATCACGTATCAGGAGGCGAGAATAAGATCCATCGTGATCTTTCGTTTACGACCGCTCCGCGGTCCAGCGAGTTTACGAGAAACTTTGAGCAGGGGATAAATAAAGCGAATCTCGCGAGCGAAAATATTCGAGGAACCATTGTTGTCGGGCATTAGTCCTCCGTATTCGTAGGGACAGGTTCCAAACGAATGTTTGGTACCGGGCATTCGTACCTTCTTCTTTCTTCTTCTATTTCTTCCTGACGAGCTACTTAGACTTCTATTTTCTTCGTTTAATTCCTCCTATTCTTCGACCGGCTATCGCCTCTCTTGTCACAGTTACGTCACGTGCCTCGCGTTTCTGTTTTAAGGCCCGGTTCGTTACTTGATATTGTTCCAGACTTTTAATTGTGAAATTCCGATTAAAGCATTTCTTCAAGACGTTCATAGTTTGAATACTTCCGTCATCGTACTGTCATATTACTGACGCTGTTATTGCTATTTTATTTATGCTAGCGTTAGACCTTTTGCCTATTAAGCTATTATAAGTATGATCAATATTGTCAGCCCAGAAGTTTTATCTTTTATGCATATATTCTAATTATTAATTTTTGTGATGCACCAAAATTATTGCTGAGCAAGATTTTTATTTAATCATCACTAACAAAGTTATAACTTTGTTTGCCTTCTTAGAACAAGCAACAAAAATTTCCAGACTAAACAAAAAGTGATACGTGTCTCAAATTTTGTCTCTTCAGGGATCTTTATGTTAGAAGAAGAAATAGCATGATTTTTTACATAATTATATTTTATTTATTTTAACTCGATGACAATTATAATTGCCTATTTTCTTAGAACAAGCATCATCATTCATAAAAAAAGTTTCTGCACTAAACACAAACTGATACGTGTCTCAAATTTAATCTCTTCAGTGCTCTTTATGTTAGAAGAAGAAATAGTGTAATCTTTTACGTAATTGTATTTAATTTATTTTAACTGGACGACAATTGAACGAAAAGCACTGATAATGTACAACACAGAAAACCATGTAGTTTATTTAATTTAAATAACCATTGGTTATAAAGAAAGAAAGACACATAGTCCGTGAAGAGTTTCACAAAAATGAAGAAATACATTACCAAAAACTACAAAAGTATACATTTAAAAATGGAAGTGTTCAAACATTGAATGTCATCCGACATAACTTTTGGGCAATTTAATATCATGACACAGTAACGTCCTGAGAGTTTTGACGAGGTCCAAGATTAGAAATCCTTTTTGATTGGACAGGTTTTACAAGCGAAAGTCTTGAGCAGCATCAACCGTCTCTGTAAGAAACTTTATTCCCGAGACAACGAACGAGGAGATACGCTCGAGCATACGTTCTCGTATCTTGAGAAACAAAAAAGAGGAGAAAGATGATAGTGGTGAAGTGTGTGCAAGGTGAAGAGTTATGGGCTGATTCTTTGCCGCTCCCGAACCCCTTCGATTTCATATCGGGAGGGCAGAAAAGAGCGTTCGAGTGACGCTCGTGATTCAAAAGTGGTGCTTGACCTCGAATGATCGCGAACATAAAGAGAGAAAACTAGAGCAGGAAAACAAGAAAAGAAGCAGGCAGGAGAGCGTTCGAAGGTCGCACTTTTCGGAGTCTCCGTAGGAGAGCAATACCAAAGAGCCTAGGGTCTCAGGAACGTCCTGATTGTCGTCCATTCATCTTCCTTTAGGGCTGAAAAGGGTTGTCGTGTGCGAACAGGGTCGGTAAACAAAATGTGCTCTGATTTTTAAATTTGCAAAAAATTTTCGTAGCGTACTTCGCCGACGCTGTTCGCTTGTCGTCGATCGTTGTCGGAAAATACGGAGAAAAGCGGGGAAACAATCGACGCGTCGAATTCGAGACATTCGGATCGCTACGTGGCTGTTGAAAATTCACTCGGTATATTTACGCGTCGGAGACAATTCGAGAACGCCTCGTTCGGATCGATTATGCGGCACCGCTCGAATAAATATCGTAATTCACTCGTCGCTCGGCGAAATTATCGTTCGTTTTCTTCTTCGTTTTCCCGGGATTTTCCGGCGACGATCGATAAAAGGGGAACGGTAACCTCTTTACGAATGTAAAAATAACACGGTGAAGGGAAACGAGAAAATTGGCTGCTCGAGTGGTGGACGATGCAGAAAAAAAAGAGCAGAGGAGAAACAGAAAAGAGAGACCGCTAGGCAAACACGATTTTATGTAAAATATGATAATGTAATACGCGTTAGACTAGCTAAAGCAGAGACTTAAGATAGTTAAAGAGAGAGAGAGAATGAGAGTAAGAAAGAGAGAGAGAATGAACGAATGAAAGGGAGAGCGAACAAAAAGTATCGAGACGATCAGGAAAATGGTCGAGAATTTTCCGAACGAGACGATTGGACAAAATTCTTGAAATTTCTTCTTTTTTTTTATCGTTTTTCGTTCGGACACCCACCGAAAGAAAGTGGAACGACGATATTTCGGGCGGAATCGATCTCTTCCGGAATTCTCGACGTTACCGCTTCGCGAAAAGAGGGAAATGAGAAAAAATGAAAAAGATCGGTGAAAACTGAAGGGATGGGGCGTGTAGAATGCGCGCTGTTGCTCCAGCAGTCTCGGGACCCTATTTATGTTTTATATTATATTATATATATATTATATATATAAATATGTGTATAAACATTTTTAATTTATTTATTTAATTCATTAATTTTATTGATTTACGATTAAACGTCATCTCCATCTCGGCAACCGCCTTTGTTTTTAATCTTTACGTTCACCTCTCTGTTTCTTCTTCTTTTTTTGCGATTTATTTTAGTTCTGCTTATTTTTATTTTGCGCTGGACGAAGCAATGTCACGGGCAGATTTGCCAAAATATTCCGCTCGAATTAATCCGTGTCACCAGGTAGGTATACGAACATAGCTGGAACGAAAAAGCAAAATTGCGTTATTATTCCGTGACAGAAAAGAAAACTTGGTTTCGGTGTCCCGAATTAAACTTGCAAAACTTCTACCAAAATAATTTTGAGCCGTCGCGACAGTTTACCCCGATTCTAATTTTTAACCTAATCCCAAGAACATTTTGTTATTTAAATTTAATTATTACGTTGGGGCGCGAATTTGAATGATAAAATGGTTGACTTAGGTTAGCAGGGTTGAAGTTACAACGAAAATAAATTCGAGTTACATTTTATTGGAATCGTTATCTTGATATTATCGACACGTTTGAGCATTAATAAGATACGAGTAATTATCGGTAATCGATAGCGACGCCTCCAACAGAGATTTGGTGTCTAGGGTGGCCATTAAACGAATATTAGTTCTTCGTTTTGCTCCAAACGAATAATGTTTGCATATTCCAATGGACTCATAATCGCAAACACAAAACGATCGCCAATAGAGCACTTAAAATAAATAATTGAACGCGCGATGTTGCCCAAAGGATCCCATGACTTATGGACAAGAGTGCGAATTCGCAAACAAGCAAAAGCTAAAATGGACGATGATCGCGTCGATTAACACTCCGGATCACAAAGTTCCGACAATGGAAAGCCGGTGAAGCTAACGGAGACAAAAGGAAGGTAAACGCACGCGGAATGGCCGAGACAAAAGATTCTTCCCGGGATAAAGTTCATAGACAGATTCGGCTCTGTATCACGAAGAAACGGGATCGCGTCACGACAAAAGAGTACCCGTCCTCAAAGAAAGCCAATTGAAATTTTCATAGCTGGCAAAAGAGTTTCGCGTCTCTTATTGCATACCGTTTCCAGACGAGTCACTTTTCTTCCAGCGAAAACACTTGCACGTCTGTTTTCGTTCAGCGAGGAGGGGATGCGTTTCAAGATATTTTGTCAAAGAGATAGAATCGGACAGGGGAGTACGGAATAATTCGTCGAAGGGTGTCTCAGATAGCGACGACGTATCCAGTGGATCCCTCGTAAAAGATTCCATAAAATTCGAGGTATACATCGATCGTGACCGGCTCTTTTAATCAAACTTCTTAGGAGGTCGAAGCGTAAAAAATTCTGAAAAAATTCTGATTTTTCAAATGGGACACGAAAAGCTAATGAAGAGTTGTTTTTAATAGAAAATGTTTATAGAGACATTTTCACTGTGAGGATAAATTAAATGGTTGCCTGACATAACCTCAAAAGGATCACTGATTGTAACCTAACCTAACCTGAGTAAGATCATTGATCGCTTTGTAACCTAAACTTAAAAGAATCGTTGACTAAAGATAATCTACAAATGGCGTTCAATACATGAACCTCTTTGAGGATATTTATTCAAACCTGTTCATTTATGAACTTCGACTAATCATATATGAAAATTACCACAGTTTTGTGTATCAAAAATTCTTTCATTTAATTACAAATTCGATGAGTTGCCTCGCATAACCTCAACCTCAACTTCGTAACCTGACCAAGCTTCGTAACTTAACCTCAACAAGATCATTGATCTTGTAACCTAACCTGAAAAACATCATTGATGACACTGTAACCTAACCTTAAGAGAATCGTTGACTAAAGATAATCTACAGATGGCGTTCAATACATGAACCTCTTTAAGGATATTTATTCAAACCTGTTTAGTTATGAACTTCAACTAAACATATATGAAAATTACCACAGTTTTGTGTATCAAAAATTCTTTCATTTAATTACAAATTCGATGAGTTGCCTCGCATAACCTCAACCTCAACTTCGTAACCTGACCAAGCTTCGTAACTTAACCTCAACAAGATCATTGATCTTGTAACCTAACCTCAAAAACATCATTGATGACTCTGTAACCTAACCTTAAAAGAATCATTGATCGCTTAGTAACCTAACCTTAAAAGAATCGTTGACTAAATCAGGTATCCTATTTTTATCATAACGACAAATCTTATAAAGTAAACGATTTGATAATTTCGGTACAAACCGCTATGGTCATTTACGTTGCCAGCGTCGGAAGAACAATCACCGGACGATAATTAACGAGCGTTCTTCGCAATTTTCCAGGAACGCGTCGTTTTGTTTTCTCCCCGGTTTACCTGTTCATTATTTTCCTACCGCGTGATGGATCCCTTCTCGATAATTAGCCTCGCGATTAATCATTGCGTCGGCTGATTCATCAACAGTTCCAGGAAGTTTCTACTTGACCTGATCGAACTCTTTTTCGCGGACGAATGACGAAACAATTTCAATTTTCTTTTGCTCCCCGTCGTGCCGCGGGAAACTGACGGTCGCGCAAACAACCATTTCTCTTTCGCCTATGTGCATAAGACAGGTTTAATATAAGTCCCGGCGCGAGGGTGTTTCCAGCGAAAATCAGCATTGAAACGCTGCGACGATTGTCGCGGTGGAAAATAAGGTCCACCGGAAATAAAGCAGGCAATAAAAATGGTAAATGGAGGAAAATAAAAGGCGACCGTGGGCAATTTACTCTTGGTACCCGGGTATTTTTTACATTTTTATTAATATCACGATATAATTGATTTGAACGAATATGACGTTCTAGCAGAGTATTTTTTACATTTTTATTAATATCTCAAAATAATTGATCTGAACGAATATGACGTTCTAGAGACATGAGAGTATTTTTTACATTTTTATTAATATCAAATAATTGACCCTGATGTCCTAAACGAATATGACATTCTAGGACATGAGAATATTTTTTACATTTTTATTTACATCACAAAATAATTGATTTGAACGTATATGACATTCTAGGAACATTAGAGTATTTTTTATATTTTTATTAATATCACAAAATTGATATTGATGTTCTAAACGAATATATTCTAGAGAATATATTTTTACATTTTTATTAATATCACAAAATTGATGATGACCTGAACGAATATGACATGTTAGAGACATGTTTTGATGTGTAATCGAACAGTGGTTATTTTCGAGAAATAAATCTTGTCTAGGAACAAGAGAACGGAATGTTCCCACGTGTATGACACCGTCAGCCAACCTGTTACGCCGGTGAAAATTTGTTTAAAAGTACAATAATTCATGGATAAGTTGGCCAGGCCAACGTACGATAAATTAATGTACAACGCTGGTCTGGCAGCGGCTCGAAAATAGAAACGATTTACTGGGTTACCCCTCGTGAAATATAATCGAGCGCTCGCGGCAGACGCGGTCGGTTTAAATTTAATGCGAACCGGGTTAAAAGAAGCTTTCACCGCTTCGAGAATAATCGCGTTACGTCGATTCGGCAAATTTTTATGCAGAGAAATCTGAGTCTTTCGGTAAACGTCACTTGCAGGAAAAGATGCTCATTAACAGAATATTTCAATTGGTGCCTAGTTAACCCTTAATTGCCAAATGGAAAATTTGGAGGTTAAGAAAGAAACCTCTTAAGATATAATTATATCAGCAAGGCACAGAAAATTAATTATTGTTGTAATATTTATTATTTTTGTAATAGTTATTGTGAAATGTTTTCATTATAAGAATATTTTAATTGGTAGTTAGTTATTAAACTTTAAATAGCAAATGAAAAATTTGAAGGTTAGGAAATTAACCCCTTAACCTATAATTATATTGGCAAGTTACAACGAATTAATTATTGTTGTAATATTTGTTATTTTTGTAATAGTTATTGTGAAATGTTCTCATTACCAGAATATTTCAATTGGTACTTAGTTATTAAACTTTAATTATCAAATGGAAAACTTGAAGGTTAAGAAAGTAACCTCTTAACCTATAATTATATTGACAAGTTACAACGAATTAATTATTGTTGTAATATTTATTATTTTAATAATAATTATTGTTAAAATGTTCTCATGACCAGAATATTTCAATTGGTACTTAGTTATTAAACTTTAAATAGCAAATGGAAAATTTGAAGGTTAGGAAATTAACCCCTTAACCTATAATTATATTGGCAAGTCACAACGAATTAATTATTGCTGTAATATTAAAAGAGGAAGATTAGAAAATTAGAAACTGCAAGATTAGAAAATTAGAAAATAAGACAGTGAAAGATTACAAAATTAAAAATGAGAAACTGGAAGATTAGAAAATTAGAAAATAAGAAACAGGAAGATTAGAGAACTAAAAAATGAGAAACTGGAAGATTAGAAAACTAAGAAATGAGAAACAGGAAGATTAGAGAACTAAAAAATGAGAAACTGGAAGATTAGAAAATTAGAAAATAAGAAACTGGAAGATTATAAACCTAAAAAATGAGAAACTGGAAGATTAGAAAATTAGAAAATAAGAAACTGGAAGATTAGAGAACTAAAAAATGAGAAACTAGAAGATTAGAAAACTAAGAAATGAGAAACTGGAAGATTAGAAAATTAAAAAATGAGAAACTGGAAGATTAGAAAATTAAAAAATGAGAAACTGGAAGATTAGAAAATTAGAAACTGCAAGATTAGAAAATTAGAAAATAAGACACTGAAAGATTACGAAATTAAAAAATGAGAAACTGGAAGATTAGAAAATTAGAAAATAAGAAACTGGAAGATTATAAACCTAAAAAATGAGAAACTGGAAGATTAGAAAACTAAGAAATGAGAAACTGGAAGATTAGAAAATTAAAAAATGAGAAACTGGAAGATTAGAAAATTAAAAAATGAGAAACTGGAAGATTAGAAAATTAAA